AAAAATTCCCTGTGAAATGACATCCTATTGCCACTAAATTAAAGGAAATATAGGTAAAAATTTTTATTTTGCATGGCATGTACTGGAATTAAGGGAAGCCTCTTACATGTTCCTGGGCTGCATCAATGAAGTGTTACTGGCACACCAAGGAAAGAAACCCAAGAGAAGGGTATAGCTCGGATGGAAGCATGTCTCTTCCCAGCTGAAAATCTTTTATGAACTACTTCCCTGGTAATTCTTTGGAATGTTTTGTATTTCAATAGAACAGCCACTGTGAAATGGAAGTCCAGAGCTTTCATTCTGACACCATGAATAATTTCAAATACATTTTTGTGCAATAAAGATACCTAGTTTGAATCATTTTATTATTCATATTTAATTTTAATTAAGATAAAATATTTCTCACAGTATGTTTCTCGGAAGAAAATATATAGGCAGATTACATTCTGAAATGCCCCCAAATTTGTCTCTTTTATTCTCATATATAAATGATGATTCATCCAAATAGAGGATTCCTATATTGCCATTCTGTTCAAAAGTTGAAAATGGTTTACTGTTTTCTGGACTCAGAGATGCAAATGAGGCATATGAAACTCATTTGCTTTCTTTTCCTTGATAGTTAATCATTTTCTTTCTGCCTTTGGAATTAAGTAATTTATCATAAGTCTAGCACTCAATAACCCTTTTGATCTGAAAATTCAAGTCTGTCTTCGAAAAAGGGTATTTCTAATATTTCTTTGATTATTTTCTTACCATCTGTTTCTTGCTCTTCTGATTTATATATTAAGTACATATTTAATATGAGTTATTCTGAAACCTTACTGTATGTCTCTTTTCAATATGATTTCCATTTCATTTTTTTGTATTTTTGTAAGAGTGTGTCTCTATTTGATCTTCTAGATTAGCAATTCAGTTTACATCTAAATTCTATTTTTAATTTCCATAATCAGTTTTTGATTAAGAAATGCTTTTTAAAAAATCTTTTCTTCCTTGATTATTTCTGTCCTTAAGACACATATTTCCTGAAGTTGTCTTCTGTTTTTCTCTCATAAATATGCCTTATTAGGAGTTTGATTCTTTTGATTCTTTCTTTTCATTTCCCTCCGTCATATGAGTCCCCCTGTGATTTCTCCTTGGCCACTCATTTCAGTGAGTGCACATTCCTCCAGTACCTATAAAGGTCAGGAAATTTGAGACTCAAGTAATATAGCCATGAGAGGTGATAATTTTGCAGTGGATCAATGGCAAACTGTCATTGGAGGGTCTCTTGATCGAGGGGGTGACAAATGAAGAAGTCTCTAGAAATGGTTCTCGAACTTCTAGCTGTATATTAGAATCATCTGGGGTGTTTTGAAAAAGAATGTCTGTGCCCAGACTCTTCCCCACGAGTTAAATCATGATCTCTAGGGCAGAGTTTGGAATATTTTTCAAAAGCTCTCAAGTGAGTAGCCACTGTTGAGAAGCCCTGCTCTAGAGTCTCAGATTTCTTCCGGTATGAACAATAAGTGGGAGTCCTCTTCTAGTTGCAGAGAAGAGGAAGTGTTTAGCCCAATAGTGAAATTCTCTCCACAGAGAGTTGGAGATGAAGCTGTTATCTTCCAGAATATTCATGGGACCTAAAAGAGCCTGTCTCCACGTAACTGAGAAATTGTATGGGTAGGAGCAGGCAAGGTATGAATCTGTCTCCACTCATGTAAACGTCTCTCTTTTCTCTATTCTTCTTGCTCCCGCCCCACCCAATCTCCACTTACCTATTATAATATTGCACTTTACCTGACGTTTTAGAAGCGATTGCCATGTGTAAACATGGCTCAAGTGTATTTCATTACTATCTTATTTTTAATGATTAAAATATACGATTGTATATTGCAAAAGTACAGCTTATATTTTTATTGTTGGGTCTTGTCATTGTTTTGAGCGCCTACTGTACGTTGGGGAATTTTAAGTTCTTCACATATGTTAATCAATTTAACTTTCACAAAAACCTGATGGGATACATACAATTATTATCCTCACGGAAAAGATGAGGAGACTGAGGCACAAAGAGGTTATATAATTTGTCCAAGATAACAGCTAGTAGGAAGCAAAGCTAGGATACAAACCTGCAATTGGTCTATAAACTCCATCCTCTTAATCTCTATGCCAAGCTAACATCATGCAGAGTATAAGATATGAATTGAACTAAAAACAGAAGTAATTTGGCTACAACTGTATTCTCTATTCATATTTAATTATCTTTTCTGTATGCAGGTTTATCCTTCTGTCATTAAACTATTTCTAAAATAAATATTCTTTTGACAGGTCTCAATGTAGGTATATTTTAGGAAAATTATTCATTAATGAAAAGCCTCTATTAATCTAAAAAAAATATTTTTAATCTTCTACTTGCCTCTAACTTATTTTCTATTTCTTATTTACATGAGGTAAAATTGCTATTTTGATATGATAATCCAGTACAGAATGCTTAGGTAATGGAGAAATCATTTCGACTCTCCTTTAAAAATTCCTTATTCCAAGTAATTTGTTAAAGGAACTTTTGTTAAAATGAGTATAGCTCTTTTGTAAAAAGTCCAATTATAAGGAGTTGCAGAGAAGAGTAGGTTTGTGTTTATTGAGAATTCTTAAAGACTGTATAGTCAAAAAAAAAGAGACAGATATTTTTGAATGATTATAAAACTCTCTGCTCATCAGGAAAGTAATCCTAGGAAGATGCTCCCAGCGAATTTTGGGTACTTGTGGCCATCACTTTTATCAGTTCTCATTTATCTAAGAAAAATGCAGAAATCCTGAGCTAATAACAACATGGAAAAGATGTCTCTAGGAGTAACTGTGAAAGAAGCCCTAAGAATTTTAACAGTTCTCAATCCTAGCTTTACGTAAGAATCATCTGGGAAATCTTTAAAAAGTAATGATGCTTGAGCCCTACTCCAAACTAAAATCTGTATTATAACGAGCCCTCCACTTTTGAGAACCACTGTGCTACAGCAGTGCTTCTCATTTGTTAGTCCCTAGGAATCACTTGTGGGATCTTCTTGACTGCAACTTCTGTCTGGGATGGGGTCAGAGATTCTGCATTTCAAACAAGCTCCCATGTGATACAGATGTTTCTAGATGGAAGACCACACTTGGAATAGCAAGAGGCTAGAGGTCAAAAAAGAAAGAAGCATGCAGTTACCAGTCTCTGGTTCCGGAGGTGGCAGTTATGATGTAAAGTTTAGGCTAAGCTGAAAGCTCTGTGAATTAGATCAGACATCTTGGCTCAGTGTAGGAGTGAGGTTTGTGAGCGCTGGTGGAGACTCATATCTGAGTCATAATTAACATAACTTATAAGCCCAGCAGCTGCATCTAAAGATTTGGAGGAACTAAATCTATCCAACATAACCAGTATAACCAGGATATCATTCTTGATATGAGTTTAGAAACTTTCTGCTTTATGTTCTGTTATTTAAGCAATTATTCTGTTATGACTAGAAAAGGACTCACTGAAAGATGGGTTGCTTCCTGGAGGAGACAGTTTCTGGAGATACCATGAATCTAGTAAAAGGTCAGATTTTCTGAGGAACCCTCTTAATTTTTAGTGACCTCTTTTGCTGTTTAACAATATTTCTAAAATCCAAATCTAAATATGCGCTGCCCTGTTTACATCCTTCAGTGGCTCTTCTCTGATTTAGGAGATTGTCCAAAGTTCTCTACTGGGCTCATGAGGCCTTTGGTGACCCAGCCTTTTCTTACCTCTTTAGCCTCACTTCTTTAGCTCCCTCTCCAGTCTCTACCTCGTATCCCATTCAAGTCTGGCAACATTGAACTACTCTTGGTTCCTCAAAAAACTGGACTTTCCTTTGCCTCTGGCAGGCCCTTTGTTCATATTATTGCCTTGGCCTGGAACTTACTTCCCTCTTTTAAATCTTGTTGCCTCTTCACTGACTCTCTGGGTTTCACCTGAGGTGTTATCTCCTCTAGGAAACTTTTGCTGATCCTCATGTTAGGAATCTCTCTGCAGCAATTGGTGTTTGCCTGTTCGCTTATCTGAATACTCCCTGCCCCCAGCTTCACCGAACTTTAATGCATAGGTTTCTGTTGTATCCGCAGAGTACAACAGTCACTCAATGAATACTTATAGAATAAAATCAATGAATAAAAATTACAGGAGTATTTAATAGCAGAGCTATTGTTAACAAAGAAACAAAAGTTATCTGCAAAGATTTTTTTATCTGACCTTGGCTTAGAGCCCTAGAAAAAACAATAAGTTGTATGAAAGTGAGAATTATTCAGGTATGAGTGAAATCTAGTAGAACATTAATAGAAATTTGGGTTTTTCTTCTGGACATAAAAGACCAGGTGGTTTGAAACAGCTATCCTCCTGAGAACTAGAAAAGGTGGACAAAATGTTAAAACATTCCTTTAAAGACATCTGAGAGCTCCCTGAAAGCAGTAAGAAATTAAGACGGCAAGAATGAGGAGAAGAGAGAAGCTCAGACAGGTTCTATTGATTCTACACCTTAGTATTTTTTTTTCCTCTGGGCTCTCCTCTACATTTCTGATGCCCAGAAAAAATTACATAGCATTACACACGTACACATGCCCGTGAAAGACCAAGTACGACTTATTCAGACTACTCCTTATAAGTACACAGAGAAACTTCCTTACTTAATATTCTAGGCAGATTTTTTTTATATATAGTATATTGGTTAAAGTTTGAAACAAATCTTGACATTAAATTGCAGCAATATAATACAGCTCAAAAAAAGCCTTTTTTAAAAAGTCAGAATTGTAATTATTCTCTGCAATTACCATGTGCAATAGTGAAATATTGTAATAAATATTTTCTAAACTAGGAATATTCAGAATGCCAATCTAGTATATTGTAACTCATAACCGTTATGAAATATACCTGTTTGACAAAGCTTACATTAAACATAGACTGCGTAATCTGAAACAAATCTGAAGTAATGCTTTGAAACTCCAAACTAAAAGTTCGAAGTAGTTATTACGATGGTTACCTTTTTGTTTTTTTAATATGATGTGACTTGTTTTCTGTACTCTTTGATATTGTCTTAGATATGGATGTAGCAGTAAAAGCCTCTTCAAATTCCAACTGAAAATCAAATGTCAGAGGTGTAACAAAACGCTTTTTCGTTATGTGACTCTGAAGATTGTTTTTCTGTAACAAAGCCAAAGTATAACATTGTGAAAAAGAGTATTTTTCATATAGGGAAAATCCTGTGAAGAAAGGACAAAATTTTTAACTTTATTTTATACACACACACGCACACACACACACACACACACACAATTTTTGTGGCAGTAAATAATGGAAAAATAATACAGAATGAAGTTGGGGGCCTTGTGCACCAACTTTTTTTATGCCATTGCTGTGTGACCTGAGCTGCTCTTTTTTCCCATTTATGAAAGTGTTGGACTAGATAATCACGAAGGCTCCTTCCTAATTCTAAAAATTGGATCTAAGAACAACCTATATATTTAGCAAAGATAATATTTTTTCTTCCTGTCACCATGCATGAACCAGAAATAGAGTTAAGATAGCAATCGAAAAAGGACTTAATTCAAATTATTATATAGATAGACGGAAGAGGAAAAGGGCATAGGTAAAGAGTGAGTATAGGAGCCAAAAATCTTCTCTAAAAAATTCTCTCAGAGCACAGCACAGAAGAATGAAGAGATAAAAAATTTTAAAGCAAACCAAAGGATATGAGAACTTCTGCTTCTACCAACGAAGGATTAAACACTGTGAGAATTGCCTTTCTGCTGTAAATAACCAGAAAATCAGACAAAATATGTGAAAACAACTGTAAGCAGGCATTAGAAAACAAGCAGAGCAGAACCATGATCCCTGAAAGAAGAAAAACAAATGAGGTAAACCCTGCAAATGCTCAGCTTACTTCTTGGAGGCAGTTTCCAGGCTGAGGCACAGGGAGGGACAATTCAAACCAAACTTTGTGGCCTTGACCTTGTTGAGTTTAAGAGACAGATTGCACCAACAATCACATTCTTGGGCATTCACTCTGGGGAAATGAAAACTTATGTTCATTCAGAAACCTGTACACAAATATACATAGCAGCCTTTATTTTATCTTATTTTTTAGCACAACTCAAATGTCCTTCAGTGGGTGAGTGGTTAAAACTTTGTACATCCATATAATGGAGTACTGCTCAGCAATAAAATTTATATATAATTTACAATAATAAAGCTATTGATTCATGCAAAAACTTAGATGGACCTCAAGGTCATTATGCTTGGTGAAAAGTCAATGTAAAAATTTTACATACTGATTTCATTTATATAACATTCTCAAAATTACAAAATTACTAGAGGAATGGAGAACAGGTTAGCCATTGCCAGCGACAGAGACAGGGAATGGGGTGAGAGTGTGGATACAAATACAAAGTAACATGTGGAAGTTCTTTTACTGTGACAGACACCGGCTGTATCTTGACTGTGGTGGTTACACCAATCTACATTAGGATAAAATTGCATAAAACTACACATATAAATGACCAAATGAATACAGGTTAAAAAATGGTGAAAACTGAATAAAGTCTGTAGTCCAATTAACGATAATACATCAGTGCTGTTAATATTGGTTGTGACTCATACTGGTTTTGATATTGTACAAGTTTATCCTATTATAGATTTATGTAACCAACACCACAGTCAAGATACAGCACTGTATAAGATGTCACCATCGGGAGCAATTGGGTGAAAGGTACATGGGACTCTGTATTATTTCTGCAACTTCCTGTGAGTCTATAATTATTTCAAAATAAAAAGTTTTAAAAAACAAAAAAAGACTGATTACCAAAGTGAATTTTATATTGCTATCTCATGTTTTTGGTCATTAAAAAAATAAATAGAGCTAATTCACCTTCATAAATATGTTCATTCACTTGAGTTCCTCTCTGTGGTTTCTCCCTTAATTTCTCAGACTGCATGCTCTTATCTATGCCTCATTTATTCATACTGTTATATTATTTTGCAAGTCTTTGTGTAACCAAATTAAATTGCTCATATGCGCTAAAAATCTGGCTTTGAGGATTTTTTATTACATTTTTATTTATGTAATATTTTATACTACATTTGATAAGTGTCACCTTTTTACTTTAATTTCTATGAACCTTAATTATTTCTAATTTGGTAACTATACCAAATATTTTCTTCCTTTTAATAAACCAACTGAATAATTTTTAATGTTTAACATATTCGTGAGAACTATAGGTGTAGTCACATTTACTAGTTGTCTAGATTTTTGTTTTAATTTTAAGCAGTTAAGATACATCATACCTTAATACAGCAGCTATCTAGACGTTACCTTGTATATCAAATTAATTCTTTATGGTATCCACTTACGTAGATGACTCTTTCACTAATATAATTATTTATTTTTTACAAATTAGTTCTTATCTTAGTATTAATGCATCAATAACTAAAAAGTAAAAATAATTATTCATATTTGAAATAACCATTTAATGAATAAATTAAATTTTAGCTTTTATTTTACAAACCTTTACTCTTCTATCCAAGAGTATTTTTGCTTGCTCATCCAGAACATCTAACTTCTCTAAGACTTTTTCTGCCATTGTCAGTCAGTAAATTCCTATTTAAAAAGGAAAAAGGAAGAAATCTCTAAAACAATTTAAACATATAATTGATTATTTAAGCATAAGTTAAGCAATCTACCTTTACATTACTGTTTTAGGTAAAAAATAAAACTACACAGACCATGAAATAAATCATAGAATTATAAAGGTACCCAAGTTTTTTTCAAAAGAAGGTCACATGATCAGAACTCCCAGATGTGTGTGTACCCCAGGAATTTTTAAATGTATGATAAAGGGGAACCGAAGAAAGTTCTACCATATGAGAACCAGATGTGAGGCATATTTGAAGGACATGCAGCTTAATTTATATCTATTTTCTTTGTATTATGATATGATTTTAATAAAAGTAAATGTGAAGAGCTCACACATATATAATCAATTGCACTCAAATTAAATTGGTCCGTGATCCAAGACTGTTAATATGGCACTTAGGAGGACATCAGTCACACAGAAGGAGAGGCAGCCAAGCTGGGTAGGTCCTACTGCTATAATAATAGCTCATATTTTCTAGTTAATTAATACTGCTGAAAATTTCATTTGGGGTCAGGTCATCCATATTAGATTTGTGGAAATGAATGTTAAACATCAGGACATGGTTTAATTTATTTTCATATTTAAATGAAAAAGTTAAAAGCCACCAAGTACCTTTTCAATGTAATACAAATAGCGAGGGGCAGAGTTGAGGCAAGGATTAGAATATTAATCCAAATCTCCCTCTATATGTTTTATTTTTTAAATTGAGTATATGATTATTCATTCACTATATTTTTGTTTGGTGGATTGAATGGGTGAGTCCCAGTGGCATTTAAGTATAAAAGTTATATGGTTCATAGAAAGTAGTGAATTCATCAATGTTTCTAAAGAACATCGATATCCGCACTAAGGTTCTTTCTAGCTAAAAAAAATCTATGCTATTTTTCTCATATTGTATATTATACAATTAATACCACACAAAGACAATAATACATGAAAAGACAAGGTTTTAGGATCCTATGTCAAAAGCTCACATTATTTTGTACTTGATTTCTTTTAGCTCTCTTTCTACTCTCTTTCCTTCATCATATACTGTTCTAGGTGTGAATTCCTGGTGCTCATTCCAGTATGCCCTCTGCCTTTCTGTCACATCCAGATACTCCACTTCCACCCCATGATGTAGTACAATGTAACAAAAAACTTTCCTGGGCCATGGGTCTGCAGGCAAATAGCCTACTTTATTCCAAACCACATAACCTTAGGTAGCAAGTTGGGAAGGGGAGGTGCAGGAAGAATGTTAACACAGTGTCATTGCCTCAGACTCTCCCAGTCTCCAACAGGAGAGTAGGGGACAGATTCCAGAAGAGAATATAGATTATCTAAACACTATATATAGTCTTTTCAGACCCAGGAACCAGCCTTCTCCTATATCCTAAAAACAACTAAAGGAATTTTAGTTTCTGTGTTTCCCTTAAATACGATATGAATTCAGGGAGATGGACAAGGCTCCTTTATTTCTCCTTTATACCAATTTCTTTGATTGGAGACAGATTTCTATTTCTCAATAAGAGATAGAATGGTAAATAATTGGAAGAACCGGCATATCGAAATGAATGAGTTTCCCACTTTGGGGAAGGTATAAATTACACAAGGGACAACTGAGACATGCTGCTTACTTGTGAGAGGGAACAGAAAGCAGGTTTTTAAAAGAGCAATACATCTTACACCTTTTGTTCTTAAGAGTCCTTCATCTCAACAGCACATCAAACATTTTAAGAGGTACCACCTCATCCCATTTCACAGACACACATACAGTTGTAATTTAAAAGAATTCCTATATTTTGATTTAAAATTATTTTGCTACAAATAAATTATTTAGCTATGAAATGATTTCTGGCAAATCACTGTGCATATCATGGTTTTTTTTTTTTTAAATGAGAAAAACCAATTATTTTCGAGTGTCAATGACAATTTTATGAATACTAAATTTGACAGTTAATGAAATTAACCATTTGCCAATCCAAGCTTGCTAAATCAGGATTTATGAAAGTGAAGACTAGAGATTTATATTTTTAAATGAATTAGTAAACCATCAGAGATAAGGGAAATGGACAACTGTAAATGCTATGACTGCTTTTAGCCTGCACTTACATTTATGAGAATACACAAATCTTTGACAGAGTCCTGTTGAGATCCTTCTTAATTAAACCATACATTAAAAACACTGCTTTTTCTCCCACCTTTAAACTTAGAATGGCAGCACAGTGTACTGGTGAAGAACACGGACTCTGAATCTTTGGCTCTGCTACTTCCAGCCATGTGACTGAGCTAATTGCTTAACCTTACTCCACCTGTAAAATGGAAATAATAAAAGTACCTACTTCATGGGGTTGTTATGAGGTTTAATTGAGTAAATGTAAATAACAAATAAATGTTTGGTAAATAAAAGAAGTAGATATAAGTAATGATACACTGACCAGTTAAGGATGAGATGCATGAGAATTTAAGTGCTTCAAAATGCATGTTCTCCATCTTAATATCATTTTTTTTTTCTGCCACACTTGCCACTATGCAATCACCAATGGTGTCTGTGTCTAATGGCCTACTTGCTTCCTTCACAATATGTTTCTTCAATTACTCTAAATCCTTGGAACTTGCAAAACAATAAAAACTTATTCAGCAAGTCAGTATCTTCTATTTTAACAAGGTATTTCAGTATCTTTGGTACCATGTCCTTTGATTATCTTCTTTCCTTCCTTTCTCTAATTTCCTCATAGTTTTATTACTCAATTTTTAATTTAATTTTTATTCTGAGTTCAGTGAGCAGAAACTAAAACTCATCTTCCTGTAAAGCTCAAGTACAGGTCTCCTATCCATGGAAACTACCCTTATAAGCATTACTATGTCTCCACACTGGAAACTCATAAAAAAAAAAAATTAGTTTGTGCTCAAGTAAATAGATCTAATCATCCCCATTTCAACTCATGTTAATCAAGGTGGGAGAAATGATTTCACTTCTTAACTATGTAGGGATATATCTGAAGCATCCTGATGTATACTTACAGTTGTGAAGAAATGCTCACTTCTGGAATGTAGGGTTCTTATGTGGTCAGAAAAGACTAATTCATAGAATCTTGAGGTTAGAACAGATCAATAGTCTTTCCCATAATTCTGTGAACGGTGAGGCAACATTGACCCTAATTGTACAAGACTTTTCTGATCCTTTATTTCCATTGCCTTTGTCTTCTATCAGACCTTCAAGTTTTTACTTTCCCTCCCCTAGATTATTGCACTATACTCTCCCTAATTTTCCTAACCCTAACTGTCCTCTTTATCTTTCAAATATTGAGCCTCCAAAATGCCATCAGAACTGTGTTCTTTAAACAAGACACTGATCAAATCCAGCTCCAGGCCACAAACCTCAACTTGCTCCCCATTTCCTGAAGAATAACACATAAACTCTTTGGATGACATACAAGACAATTCAAGGAAAGACCATCCAGAATCTGGCTCAGTCGACCTTTCTAGTTAATCTCCCACCATATTCCATCTTCTGCCATACTCTTCTACTCCTAGTCCCTGGACACATCTTGCCCTTTCCCCAGGCACGTCTTTGACTCATGCTTTTCCTTCCACTCGGAATGTTTGCTCTTTCTGTCTTTTGGTCAAAAGCCTACTCTTTATCAAACACTGATGTAAAGGCTGCCTCTTTTGTAAAACTTTCCTTGACATCTTCTCATTCCTTTTCTTGGTGACCGTTTCTTTTGTCTGTGTGCTCCTTTTGTACTTTGTCCTTCACTATAGAACTGGGCATATTGTGCTGTAGAGAGTCACTCTTTGACAAATCTTTCTCACTGTGTCGAAAGCTCATTTAAAGCAAGAATTGATTTACCCACTTCTGAATCTCAGCACAAGGCAAAGGATTTTATACCCAACTGGGATCTGCAAATTATAATTAATTGGAAGATGTCTCTGATGTAACATTCTAGGAGGAGTAATCCCATCTTCTCTGTAATAGATAATGTTAATTCATGATGATTTATTGGGGGACGAAATTGAGTAAATTATTATAAAATGTGGTTCTTGCCAAATCTAAATTCAGTAAGAGTATTTTCAAAGGAAATTTGAATTTATGTTTTTAACTACTGGCTTAGTAATGACAGTTTTTTGAAAAAGAACACAATGAAATAGAGAACTTGCCAACTAGGAGAGCATAAAATTCCCAGTCACTCTCACCATAAATCATCCACAGGCCTCACTGAAAAGACTTGGCTACATCAACAAACGATTTTTAGGCCAAGGGGCCAACATCGTAAGCACATTAGAGGCTGAGTCATTATTTAAAACAACAATATCAAACTAAAGAGTTACGTTTAAGATCTGAGCACTACTTCATTTTAACATAATCTTTAGGACTGAAAAGAATTAAAACAAATAAACAAAAATACCTAATGCTGCCACATAATAAGCTCTGCCAAGAAGGCTTCTTCAGCAAGTTCCAAATGTCTCCTTTAAGAGGAAAAATTCAGGAAAACTAAAAGAGTCTGTAAATTCACAAACCAAAGAGCAGGACTGAACAATTATCTAGAAAATAGAAGCTTAAATTAAAATACACTTCCATTATCTGGCTTTATCAGTTCAAATGTTTACTCCTTGAAGGCAAGGTCTCTTATACTTTTATCTTACATAGTCCATCAAACACTGTATTGAGTACATAGTAAGCATTCACTGTTAAATAATTACTTTTTACTCAATAATGGGATAACTGGCTGAATTTCTTCACCTTACGTTCTAAATATGGACACAGAGCTCCTTTTTTTTTTTTCTTATGTCTAAAATACTGACAAATGACCCATATTATAGGCTGAATTATGTTCACCCAAAATTTGTATGTTGAAGCCCTAACCCCAAGTACCTCATAATGCGCTGTATTTGGAGACAGGGCCTTTATTTTAAAGAGGTAGTTAAGTTAAAATGGTCATTTGAGTGGGCCTTAATCCAATATG